TACGAAAATAAACCCTGTCTAAAATTTTCCCTTTATAGTATAAAAATATCTGGAATACAGAGGGCGGACCTTTTCTGATAACTGCGTTTTAAGGTCCGCCCTGTCTATTTTTTTTTAGTTTTCAAGCTACGAAAATAAACCCTGTCCAAAAATTTCCCTTTATAACATAAAAATATCTGAAATACAGAGGGCGGAATTTTTCTGATAACTGCGTTTTAAGGTCCGCCCTCTCTATTTTTCCAGTTTTCAAGCTACAAAAAATAAACTCTGTCCAAAAAAGTCCCTTTTGACATAAAGATATATGAAATACAAAGGGCAGACCTTTTCTGATAACTGCGTTTTAAGGTCCGCCCTATTTCTTTCTCTAGTTTTCAAGCTACGAAAATAAACCCTGTCCAAAAATTTCCCTTTATAACATAAAAATATCTGAAATACAGAGGGCGGACCTTTTCTGATAACTGCGTTTTAAGGTCCGCCCTGTCTATTCTTCTAGTTTTCAAGCTACGAAAATAAACCCTGTCCAAAGATTTCTCTTTATGACATGAATATATCTGAAATACAGAGGGCGGACCTTTTCTGGTAACAACGTTTTAAGGTCCGCCCTGTCTCTTTCCCTAGCTTTTTAAGCTACGTAAATAAACTCTGTCCAAAAACTTCCCTTTATAACATAAAAATATCTGAAATACAGAGGACGGAATTTTTCTGATAACTGCGTTTTAAGGTCCGCCCTATTCCTTTCTCTAGTTTTCAAGCTACGAAAATAAACCCTGTCTAAAATTTTCCCTTTATAGTTGTCACGGATTATCCGCGGGTTTATGTAACGTACGTTAACGTTATTGTTACGTCACAATACTGTACGTTATGTTTCTATAGTTAATAACAGAGTCTAAATAAACCACTATACGATCAAGACGCATTTCTATTTTTTCCACAACAATTTTGGTGCCGTGATCGACGGAATGTCTACATAATACGTAAAATGGAAGGAAGACTAAAAGCCATACGGGCCGGTAACAGATCAGCGGTAACGAAACTTTTCGGACGATTTTTGGACTTGAAAGAAAATACAGCCAGTGAAGTAACGGACGTCTGCATAACGAGGTTCAGGAATTAAAGGACCAAGTTGTTAATATCAAAACCTACAGCACTCACTTGGAGCATTTTAATGCTAAAAACAACAGTCTTCAGTCACGATATGATTACGCCCAAAGGCAAATAAGTGATCTAAATATCAAAGTACAGACACTTGAAAATCAACTAGAAACCTCACAGGACCCCGTGGAAAGAAGGGAGAGAGACAACACGTTCGCCGTAAGGATCCGTGATGACGAAAGTCAGATGACAGATAAACGTACAGAGGCTGAGGAGAAGGAAAAAGAAAAATCACAGAAAATGAATCTCAGTGACATGGCAGAGATAATAAACAAAATGCCAATCTACGGACTCGAAACATGGAACTGGAGAAATCTAACACAGAACTATGTCACAAACACCCCGGAACTGAGACTCTGATACAAAACCTGGCAGGTAAAGTGTCGGAACAGAAAAGGATCGAGTGTCAAAAACAAAAGCCAAAGAAAGAATCCGTGAATGGACCTCTTAATTGAGTGATTATGAACTTGTTTTTATTTTAAATTTCAATGAACTGTTAATTTGATTTGAACTTTTTAATATTCTAGTATAATATTCATTTCGGTGCCCGGAGTGTCACGGATTATCCGCGGGTTTATGTAACGTACGTTAACGTTATTGTTACGTCACAATACTGTACGTTATGTTTCTATAGTTAATAACAGAGTCTAAATAAACCACTATACGATCAAGACGCATTTCTATTTTTTCCACAACAATAGTATAAAAATATCTGGAATACAGAGGGCGGACCTTTTCTGATAACTGCGTTTTAAGGTCCGCCCTGTCTATTTTTTTTTAGTTTTCAAGCTACGAAAATAAACCCAGTCCAAAAATTTCCCTTTATGACATGAAGATATATACGAGAAAATGCGTTTAAAAACTTTAAAGTCATATAAGGCGTTTTTTTAAATATAAGTTCAGACTAAAAATATAAAAAAGATCTATTTGTTTTGGTACTTTATATACCACTGTAAAGATAGGACCGCTGCATTTCATTTCTGGAAATCGACATGGCATTTCCGCCATTTCTTTTTTTCATTTCTGACAATTTGTCTTTTCTTTTCTGACATTTATTTCTTTTCATTTCTGGAATTTTTGCAAGGTACCTCTCCGGCAATTCAAAGATTACCAAGTACATGTATGTAGAAATGGAATTTTGAAAGAATTTATTATAAACAACATTTTAATATAAAAGTTCTATATACATGTATATACATCTGTACATGAAGCACTAAGTCTAGTTAACAGAGTTTAATGACCATGCAATTTTTTCATAGCATTTAATGTTCACTAAATTAAATGTCAAAGACTGCGCCGAACATTGATTTACTAAACAGTCTATAATTAATTCTTTAAATTTTTTCATTACCGGAAAGCACTAAATTCCTGAAAAATGTCGGAGATGAACACTTTAGAATGTCGAAAATGAAAGCTTAAAATGTCGGAAATAAAAAGGTTAAAATTTCAACACCAAAAAAAAAAAAAAAAAAAAAAAAAAATCCGATATGGAATGCAGACTGAAACATTTTATGAAAATCAAACAATTTAAATCAATCGCGTTTCATAGATATCCGAGATTTAAAACAATGGCCGATTCTTATCGACTCGAAATTTAAATATCAGACACAGTTTTAATTCTTTTAGTTTAAATTTAACTAATAGAAACGTGGGGATATTCAAGTTCAATATCGGTGAAATTTTTAATTTGAACAAAAAACCCAAACTCATGTACATCTACGCTTACAGTAATCTTGTATTTTTAATTTTTAGCTCAGATACGCCATATTTAGCTTTAAATATTGAAATAAAGATTATACCTGTATGGTTATAATTATTAAAAATGTCGCAGTTTTGAAGTGTACGCCTGAATATTTGGTTCCTTGGCATAATTTATTAATTAAAAATAAGATCTATTAATATGTAAAGCCAACACATGACCATTAGGTTCACCGACCATTCAATGACAGCGCCATCTGCCGCGGGCTCTACCTGTGGGTACGGTGGGTACCTGTCAGGTAAACAAATACGTCACACACCCATTGTTTTATTAGCTATACACATCGACAGATTTCACACCTTTAATCGTACTAATTTACAAAAAACAAATTCTAAGGAAAAACAAACACTTGCAAAACAATTGTGGCACGATTTTTAAAGAAATCAGGGCCCTAAATGGCACTGCTTAAAGCACACTATACGAGTAGATTCTTGTCTAGAGATACTTGTATGTTGTACAAAAAATAAAACACAACAGGGTTAATACTTCTTTCATCATATAGTATAAACAAACTACCCGGTAGCCTTAATTTCATATGTTAAAGTCAAGATTAAAACATTTTGAACCACCCGGACCTTAAAACGCAGGGGGACCATTTCTTATACGGGCCGGACCTTTTCTTATAAAAGGCGGACCAAATATGATATCGTATTAGGTCCGGCCGGACTTTTAAACGAGGCGGACCAAATATTATGCGACACCTGACGCATTTCATAGCGGTCCGGATTTCTTTCTTTATTAGTGTTCTTAAAAATTTCCAATTCATCATGTAATTAAGTACATGTAATTAAGTATGTAAATATCTAGTGTTTAGTAGTTTAGTAGTAGTGCTAGTTGTTTTTGTTTCTCTTTTTCCTTTGTTCTTATGACTTTTTAACTTTTTTCTTTGTCCTGAGGAAGGGACAGGGCGTCCCGAAAATTTGACATTTTTTATTGTTCGTGTCGTTGGTCATTTTTAGTGCTTTATATATATATATATATATATATATATATATATATATATATATATATATATATATATATATATATGCCGTCATCGCCTGCATATAAGATTTATGTCTCTAAAACAAGGTAAATTATTGACAAACAAGTTATTGAAACAAGAATATCTGCAGTCTCGTTTAAAGTCATCATTTCGTAAGTTCTTTGGTTGAGACAATGACCTTGTCTGCAAATACAATTTTTCCATTAAGATATATGCTGACTGATGCTTTTATACATGTACTTAGTGTGAGGCCATTATATACACACTGAATTGTCGACGGAATTTTTCCGTTATTTACCGATCATGACAAAGAGCACTCGGCGGGCGCAATTTTGTATTGTTTATGTTTTTTTGAGCTTGAATACTGTTCGTTATCTCGATATATTTCAATGGAAATTATTCTAGGATTCGTGAACACGTTGCAATATATATTATGTGTTTTTACATTACTAAACATATCTATAAATATATGCGCTTTAAGTGAGATACTCAGGCGAACTTTTGCTATCGCTTTTTTCTGTCGGTTATGTACATCTACAACCTCTCTAGAACCCTGGAACTAATTGCAATAATTTTTGGCATAAAAAGATCTATGAGAGGGGAACAATTACAAGGTGCTTGCACTCCTAGTTCTTGGCTTTGTAATAGTAAATACTGTATAAGATAAATAAAAATGAGACAAATATAGCTTTTGTCTTTGTGTTATTAAATAATTATATACAATTCCATGGATCCTTTACAGAGTTGTATTATACTCACGTGATCACTCAGGCCGTCGTGCCTTTTATTTATTTTAAAAATAGCACGTTTGCATGGCTGTGAATCTTAAAAAAAATCAATAGGAAGAAACTTTCTCATTTATGTGTCCGTTTTAAATATGATTTGCAACTGGAAGGATAAACTCGGAAGAAATAAAATCAAAGTGAAGCTATTGCTTAATGATCATGAAGTGAGAATAATCGTTTTTAGTAAAGTGATTTGATATGATTATGTATCCAGTAAAAATGTTTTCTTCGTCCCTCTCTGATAAAAACTTGACATCATTTTGGTATTTAAAAATCTTTTTGAGGGTTATACAAAAAGTATTTTAGTGTATTTTTAGTGTATTCGAGCAATTCATCATCCTTCCTGTATTTTTGTAGCTGTTTCATTATCATAATACCAAAAACTTCCTGTAGCCTCGATAAGTGCGTATAGATTTCGACTAAATAACAGCAGGAACAAAACAGGTTTGTGAATCATATATTTGATCTGATATTTCATCTTACTCTTGCTAATTAGTTTGATGTTTTAGTCGAAGATACAATTACCATTGAACATTTATCTTTCAAAGTACACTGATTATAAATAACACAGAATTTCCTTCAGGACATGGAAACTACTATGTATGAGTGTATGTGGCTATCACAAGCAAAAGTTGATGCTGTAAAACGTACGTCAGCTGATTATTTGTACATTAAAAATCTTCAGTTATTATGCCCCCGTAGTCAAAGAATCGTGGGAATATAGTTTTTGTCCTGAACGTTCGCCTGTCTGTTTGTCTGTTTGTCCGCAAAAATATTAACCTTGGTCATTACTTTTTAGTAGTTCGGTGGCTTTGGCATTTGTGTTTTACAGGTATATTACTTGTGACAAAACCATTCTTTGGATAACACCAAATTTTGACCTCTTGACCTTAGATTTTGATCCAACGTTTACAAAAAAATTCCTACACTTAAACCTTGGACATAATTTTTGAAAAGTTGGTGCTAGGTCTTTCGTACATAATGTAAATAATATAAATGTATTTATTGTGACAAGGCCTTTCAATCGGTAGAAATATTTTTTACCTTTTGACATTGACCTTACAGTTTTGTCTAGTTAAAAAAATTAAATTTAATCTTGACCATAACTTTTGAACAGATAGTATTAGACTTTCATCGTTCACATGTGTATTCTATCAATAGAAAAACCTTTAAAACTCTTTTAAAAACCCTTATACTGGTCATAACTTTGGACTAAGGCTTTCATCTTTTACAATTTTATTCTATTTGACTAGACCTTCCTCTGGATACCATGACTTTTGACCTTGCTTTTTGGAGTTTGACTTGCATCAGAGAAACTTCAATCCTCACCATTAGCTACCATAATTAGTGTTTCACAGACACATTTTCTTTTTTAATCTGACATTATTCATGCTAGTATTTCAAATTGCTAAAATCACTACGCAAATTTCAATTTAAGTTTGTCTGTTATATTGTAGAGAAAGCCCTCCGGTATCAGAAGGGAAGAGGAAGTTGTGTTCTTTTCATTTTGGACTTTTCTGAGAGCATGAGAGGGGAACCTTTAAGGCAGATGAAGCGGGGAGTCGGGGCGATACTAGAGGGTTGCCAATTAGTTCTGAATATAATATTTGTCTGAGTATCTTTTCTTTATAATACACTGCACTACAATTTTTTGACATTTATAGAGTTTGATGAACAACCAGATCTTGATGAGAATGTTTCTGTGATTGTTTTTGGACAAGAAACCAAATTTCTGCATTATTATTCCAACCAATATTCCACAATAAAACAAAGCATTGGTAAAAACACTGACTTTATTTACTCGTATTCTCTGGATTAAATGTATAGTGCAAAAAATAACAGAGAAAACATTGTGTTTAGAAAAGCGCTTTTTGTCAGAGTCATTGATATCTTACATAGAGATGTACAAGTCATGTACGCAGCTCATTATTTTTATATTTTATTTAAAGAACTGATTAAAAATAAATTTTAGTAAATGGTTTTCCATATGGTGGAGTAAAATTAATTTGTTTTCTCAATAAAAACTATTTTATTTTTCACTTCATTCCAAATGGTGACTTTAATTTGCTATATAATTTAAAGATATTGCATTTTGCTGATTCTTTCAGAGGAGGTGGAATGTGGTGGACCCTCGCCGCTCACTGCCGCCTTTCTCTTGGCCCTTGGGGGACTGTACGAGGGAGCAGGTATGTAGATTTATTATTGTGTAAACAAGAGAAACTGGTTACATGTATATATTTAAATTTTGAATGGCTTAAGGTGGAATATCCCTCTGATAAGAGAGATAACTCTTCTAATAAGAGAGATAACTTTCTTCAGACATTTTGTCATGAAATTCAGTGAGTTGTCACATCAGAGTTTACAAGTTTCATTCATAAGGACAATTTTATAGTCAACTCAATCAAACCTATTCTTTGGTGAAAGTGTTGATATCTAGTTTCTATTACTAGTATATTGATTAATTATTTATAATAGTTTACTTAAAACATTTATACCCAGTTCCTTTAAACAGTGTAAATTGAAAAATCTCTATCTCTTCAAGTATAATTCTTTTAATTGTACAGAAATTTTAGATGCAGTATTGTTTATAAACATTTAATTAATATTTTGTTTCATCAAAAAATATTGTCAAGGGTGATAATGGAACTATAACTCTTGTTTATGGATGTGTTATTTTACATGCACAGAAAATAATTTGTTATTCTGATTTAAAAAGCAGCGCTTCAGTATGTTTTCTACTGGGAGTTAGATAGGTATGAGAGTAAATATTATTTTTATATATACCTCATATTTCTAATTTAATTGTGAGATAAAAAACACTTAATCTTTCTATTTACCATATCAAATTTTCTTCACATCATGATTTGACATATTATTCATTTCTGAAAAAGTAAGCAACGCTCCATACTTCAAACTATTTTCCATTTGAATTTAATGCTATAGTTGTTGCTGAAAATCAATGTCTGGATTTTAAAAAAAGTGTCGTGAAATTTGGAGCAGAGGGATATTGCCCCTTAAAGAGGCTAAGCAAGTCCATAATTCGATTCTATAATTACAGAATACAAGCTAGGGTGTTTGATAATGGTTTTTGCCCTGTACTAATACAAAAAAGTGGGGAGTTAGACATTTTGGTCTGTATAGATGGAGTGGACATTTAAAAAGGATCAACTGTACAGAACAATATATAAATGGACTAAAGTAAAAACTGCATATTATACATTGCGTTTATCTTTTTATTTTTAACTTAATATTGTACTAGTATTAAATTTATCATTGATGCAAGAAAATTTAAAGAAGCCAATGTTCTTAGACCATATATATTCTCCAGATTCCCCGAATATACAAAAAGTGCTACATATGTATCAGATTAAACTTAAAAATTTTTCTGATGTCAGACTATTCAAAATGTAAAGATCAACATGTTTCACATGTTAACATTAATTCTTACAGCCCATACAAGTCGCATTGGTGACTTCCATCTCAAAAAGAGTGGTTCTTTTCACAGACGGTAGACTAACAGACTTTAAGAATTTAGAGGCCACAGAGAATGAAATGGAATTAATGCCAAAGGAACATGTAATCTTACAAAGTTTTCTTTTTCTTTCTAAAGGTTTATCTTATGGTTAAACTTGAATAACATTGCACTTAAAGATAAAATAATAATAATAACATAAAAATAAAAAAAAAAAATTTTTCGTTATTTCTATATGATTAGATTTTAACACCCCCCTATCTTCAATCACACAACAAATAGGAAGGACCATCCAATTTTCTGCTTTCCAGTTGGAGAAAATTCCAAACTATGTAAGTTTTCCAATATACTACAATTTGATCGTTTTCTTTTGATGAAAGCTTTATCCATCACATGTCTACACCTTATTCAGTTATTCATTTTTTTTAGCCGGGGAAAGTTTTTCACAGTTAAATTATGTAATTCAGTTACCCTTTTTTTCTTCAAAATTGTTTCTAATGGGGCACAAAGTGAACTGGTACTCTATTTACTCGATGACCTATTCTACTTTCTTGCATGAAATATATGGAGATAACGAACAGTTTTCAAGCTCAAAAGTCCATTTTTATACAATACAAAATAGGAACAGAGCAAACACGAACCTCTGAAACATCAGAGGTGGGATCAGGTGCCATGGAGGAGTGGTCATCCCCTGCCGACCGGTCACACCATAGAAGAAATGACATTTGGAAAAATTTATTAGGAAAATGGTTAACAGTTTTTAAAATTCAAAAAAATCAAACAGGCTAATTTCTACCATTTTCGGAGGGAAATATGAAAGTTATTTTTATTATCCTAGTCTAAGGAGAAAAAACTCAAAGTATTATCCATTTTTTCTATTCCTGTGACATGATATGAAGTCTCCTCCAAAGAAAATATTTGTATGTATCACCTGTCCTTTCAAAAAGCAATGAATTTATTTGTTTCTGTTATGGCAATATTCACAGTGATTTTCTAGTCAATTCCTTTCACCAAGTAAACTTTATATGCCTTGTCAAAAAAAAAACCCAGATGAATCATTGTAGGTGCTACCTGTCGACAGAGAATGCCTACTTGTGTAAAGCACATTTGGTTTCGTTCAATATTAAAATCTAGATATCATGGACCTGTTAGCAGACGAGAAAACTAAAACTGTTAAAAAAAGGAATGATTTAGTTTTAAATTAAAACATGTAATAAAAAGTTTATCCAACCGATTTTTTTTTCCTTTGTGAGGCAGTTGAAAGCACATAAATTAAATGCAAACATATATGTTGTTCTCTACATCAAATTCAATTTAATTATTTATTTCAGCCCTTATTACAAACCATATCAGGCGTGTCTCAAGGTGGCAAAGTGTTACAGATTTATGAAGCAAAGTGCTTTGGACGATATACTCTACATTACGTAATTAATTTTTCATCAATTGCTATCTTTATTTTATCCCATAAAATTTCCGATTGTCAACAATTGCAATATTTTTCAGAGATCTGCAGATTTGATATCCAAAGTAATAAACAAGAATGAGATAGAAAGGGAAGCTTTGAGATCTGTGGCAGATAACGTACTTTTCGGGCATACTTACGATGAAGATGATTTAGTATGTTGGATACTCAAAGCATTTTATCAAAAAAGTTTCGTTGGCATTTTGTCCAAATGGAATATCAAGCTGCTGAATGGATTTTTTTTTTAGAAAAATTAAATAATTTCGTTTAATTAAGTTATTTGTCTTAGCATTCATTTGTTTTACATTCCAAATATAATATTCCCTACATCATTCATTTCATTAAAATCTCATATCATACTGTAAAACGAACTTTTTTCACTTCGCGCGCGAGAAATTTTTGCGATATTTGCGAGAGCCTCATCATCGCGAATATTTCTCGCCGCGAACCAGTCCTTAAATTCCACATGTCTATAAATAAAAGATCCAAAATAGGCTTGATCGCGAAAATAAATCGTCGCGAACTAGTTTACCCCCCGATAAAACACGGAATAAAGTCGTTGCGAATAAAAGTTGGTTTACAGTATCTGTTTTCTTATTTTCACTTTAAAAGAAACATAACAGATTCCATTTATAAAAAAATTAAAAGAAAAGTAATTCAAATTTCAATCTTATAATCAAAGGACACAATATACGAGTTAATACAGAACAGAGAGAGAATCATGGAGACCCAACCAAGGGTAGAGGACGATGAAAATAATTGGTATAAGGAGAAATACTCTACAATTCCAAGGCTCGGTACGAGAGTTCGCCGGGGTCCACACTGGAGATTCCAGAATCAAGATAGCGAGGGCATCGGAACCATAGTGGGTCATGGGGATAAAGGTAACCAGGCATATGTAAGGAAATGGCTCAAATTCACCCAGTTTACTTAATACAAATATATTTGAGACGGTAAAATTCACAATTTCTTCACGAAATTCATGTATAAATAAATATATAAATGTTGGTCAAACTGGACATCAATTATTGAAAGAGGGAAGGTGACTTCATAAACAGTGGATAAAACAATTATACTGCAAAGTGAAGGTTGTAATAAAAATGTTAAATATACTTTTTTTTTCCCTTTGTAAACAATCTTTACAATGCTGAATATATTGTTGTCGATTTGGTACTGTGCATCGACTTGTTTCTTTTTTACTTTTCTTTTTTTCACAGTTGGTTTAGTGCTCGTAGAATGGGATAATGGGTGTCGTTGTGTATATAAATATGGAATAGGAAATACATACGATATTGT